TGGTGTGAGTTGTAGGGGTCAACAAATGCCCCCCCCCCAATAAATGTAGTATGCGTCCAGAGCGTATCACGTTTGTTATAAGTTAGTTGATGGTCTTTATTAACTCTTTTTTTCACATTTATTATTTCTATGACCGCTTTCTGAAATATTTTGTTTGTTTTCATTGTGTAGGGAATGTTTCGTTGGCAGAGATCCGACGACCTGCCTCCAGGCGAGCCAAGCGAGGATGCCATCTGGGAGACCATTGACAGGCAAGACCCCCAGGGTAGTGTTGATGTTCGGGACAGACTAGAGCATCACCAGGACATGCTGCAGGGGCGAGACCTCTTCCACAGTTTGTTTGCCCGTTCCCCCTTACTTTCAGAGCTTTTTGAGAACTCCGTTGCTTCTGAGGACCCGGACATGTGGGTTACCAGTCTCAGGCTACAGTACGGGGAGTACCACCCATTGGAGAGTTCTGTGGCATAGGTCGGCTAGGGTACCTACGACGACTTAATGCCTGCCGTAGACACAGTTAAGCCAGTTGGACAGTTTAGCTTGCTTAGCCATCATCAGTTACAGTTGTCGCCTTTGGAGTGGCCACGAGACTCAACACTTGGACAAGTTCAAAGTCCAGCCAACGGTTATGTTTGTTGGGCCGTTATGTCTTACAGGCGCACAGGATCACATTACAGGTGGCAGGGATTTACGAGGCAGTGTACGCCTCGCTATTTGATTACGGATGCCTCCCTACTTCATGGGCTCGTGGTTTGGTAGAGTTTTGGGACTCTGGTAGAGGTACATGCTGGGTTAGGGCAGATGAGCTTACTGTGTCCGATCTACCAGTCTTTGGTTACCACTTTGAGGAGTACGTCCCTCCAGATGAGTAGTTGTTTAAGCGGGTTCCATTAGCAGATGATGACAGGAGAGGCAGACTGCTACTTCTAGATGTTTACCCCAGGCTTTTACAGCACTACTGTAGACTTACAGGACAGCACGGGGTTTGCCGATGCGTTCTCGAGTCACCATGCCTGTGGGCGTCTGGGTTCGTAGTTTTCTTCAGGAGTACTTGTCTTCTATTATAGTATCATCACACGACCCGTTTGGCTTCAGTTTACAGCACGGTGTCCTCTGTCAAAGGAGATCGCCAAGCCTTCTTCTTCAGTTAGTTACACTTCTCCTGGTCTGGTGGGGATTGATGAGGTTTTGCTTTTGATGAGTTTCTTGGTGCGTTGGCTCAGCACTTTCGTACTCTCACTTCGGACAGGCTCTTTGAGGTGCAGTGTTTTATTGGCAGCCAGCTAGTTGGTACATGGACAGAGGATTGCTCTAGCTCCTGCTGTTCTTGCCAGAGTGTACAGAGTTTTGCAGTCCGCTTTTGAGGCTAGCTCTTTAGAGATATGAGATTCAGTTTGACCATGGTAGTATCTGTAAGTGAACCCAAACGTACAAGTACTGCCACGGTAAAATTGAATCTCGTATCTCCAGAAAGCTAGCATAAAAAACAGTTCTCAAAACTCTGTACACTCTGACAAGAATGGTAGGAGGTAGAGCAAGCCTCTGTCCCTGTACCAACTGGCTGACTGCCAACAAAATACTGCACCTTAAAGAGCATGTCCAGAGAGATTACGAAAGTGCTGAGCCAAAGCGCCAAGAAACCCATCAAAAGCAAAACCTCATCAATCCTCACCAGATCAGGAGAAGTGTAACTAGCTGAAGAAGAAGACTCGGCGGTTTCCTCTGACAGCGGAACACCACGCTGTAAACTGAAGCCAAACAGGTCGTATGGTGACACTGTAATAGAAGACAAGTACTCCTGAAGAAAACTACGAACTCAGATGTCCACAGGCATGGTGACTCGAGAACGCATCGGGAAACCCCGTGCTGACCTGTAAGTATGACGGTAGTGCTGTAGAAGCCCGGGGTAAACATCTGGCAGTAACAGTCTGCCTCTCCTGTCACCATCCACTGAGGGAATCCGTTGAAACAACTGCTCGTCTAGAGGGATGCACTCCTCAACGATGTAACCAAAGACTGGTAGACCGGACGCTATTTGTAAGTCTGAGAGCATCACAGTAAGCTACTCTACCCCAACCCAGCACATACCTCTACCAGAGTCCCAAAACTCTACCAAACCACGAGCCCAAGAAGTAGAGATCGTAGTCAAACAACTAGGCGTACATTGCCTCGTAGATCCCTGCCGCCTGTAGTTTGCTCATGTTCGTCTGTAAGACGTAGCGGGCCCAACAAACATAGTCGCTGGTTGGACTCTAAACCTATCCAAGTGTCGAGTCCCGTGGCCACTCTAAAGGCGACGATTGTAGCTCACGGTGGCTAAGCAAGCTAGACTGTCCAACTGCCTCAACTGTGTCTGCGGCAGATACTAAAACATCGCAAGTATCCCAGCCGACCTTTGCCACAGAACTCTTCAACGGGTGGTACTTCCCGTATTGTAACCTAAAACTGATGACCCAACTGTCCGGGTCCTCAGAAGCAACGAAGTCCTCAAAAAGCTCTAGAAGTAAGGGAGAATGGGCAAAGAAACTGTGAAAGAGGTCTTTACCCCCGCAGCATGTCCTGGTGCTGCTCTAGTCTGTCCCGAACATCAACACTGCCCTGAGGGTCTTGCCTATCAATGGCCTCCCAGATGACATCCTCGCTAGGCTCGCTTGGAGGCAGGTCATCGGGTCTTTGCCAACGAAACATTCCTTGCACAGGAAAAACAAACAAAAAATTTCAGAAAGCGGTCACAGAAATCATAAATGCGAAAAGAAGAGCTACTAAAGATTGTCAACCAATTTACAACAAATGTGATACGCTCTGGATGCGTACCACATTTGTTGGGGGGAATTTGTTGACTCCTACAACTCACATTACTCGCAAAAGGATGAAAATGATGAATTAAGGAGTGCGCGGGTTGGCGCGACGTATTACTTAAAGGGTCAAATGACCTCCGATTGCCAAACGAATAGTGGCGTTGCAATAAAGACTTCTAATTCTGTTAGGTCGAGATCCCTCACAGTCGAACAGGATGAGATCGGTCAAATGGGATGACCGACACCCGAAATTAAAGCGCGAGGTTGATCAAACAACATCGGATCGACGAACAAACTTTGATGTTACATTCAAAATGTTATCAACCTATGAAAATTATATTTTGTTTATTCAATTTGAAGCATCCAGATTGGTGGCATGGATTTCAAGACAAAACATGCATATCGAGGAGAATCAGGCCTCGGCGTCATCCAAACGATCTTCGATCGATGAACAGACTTTATACATTTTATTTAACCAATTTGAATTGTTCGAGGTGGTGGCATAAATCCCAATATGATGGCACGCGTATCGAGAAAAAAATAGCCTCGCCGCTATCCAAATGATGTATGTTCGTAAAATAGATTTCGCCATTGTGATTGGAATATTGCAAATACTTAAGATTTACACTTTTTTTATGTTCAATTTAGATCATCTAGATTGGTGGCATGAATCCCAATTTAATGCAAAGACGTGCATATCGAGGAAATTAGCCTCTACGGAGACGACATGACGTCCAATCATGAAACAGACTGTGTCGCTACGTCTGGAATGTCATCAACATTCAAAATATATATGTTATAAATTCAATTAGGATCAATCGGGGTGGTGACATGCAAATCAAGGCAATCCCAATGTAATGCAAGGACGCACATATCAAGGAAATTAGCCTCTACGGAGACTGCATGATGTCCGATCATAAAATGGACTACGTTACCACGTTCAGACCATCCTAAATATCTAAGGATGACATTCAATTTGATTAAATTAATGATGTACGAGAAGTTCAGCAAGCATTTCGAGGCAAAGCACAAATCACAAGATAATGATGCACATGCTAAGGAATTTAGTCCTCGATGTTGACCAAGCGATCTCCAATCGACGAACGGACTTCGCCACCGCGTCCGGGACGCCGTCAATACTCTAAATGGACTATCAATTTGTCCAATTAAAATTATGCCGTGATCGACGAGGGTCCTAATACAACAACGCACATTTCAAGGGAATTAAGCCTCGACATTACCCAAATGATGCCCGATCGCGAAACAAGCCCGATGCATTCCTCCACTTCAACCATCCAACTTGAATTCCACTGATAATATCCCCATCTATTTTACCATCACTCTAAACAATAGATCCAATATATCTAAAAGGTGTACTCTTATTAATGACTTGATCGCCCAAAGTCACAATCCCCTCAGTAGGTTTATTACTGCTAAAATTACACTCCATATATTCCGTTTTAGATCTACTCAAGCAAAAACCTTTAGACTCTAAGGTGTCTATACTTCTAGAATTGACATAAAGTTTTGAGGGTTTAGAGTTTCAGAAACTAGTTTATGGTATGATTTGCTATTATGTTGAGATGGTTTTGGATGGAGATGGAAGATATGATCATATATTCATATGTATGTTTATCCTACAATCTACATGCATGATAATGTTTATTTTCTTGAGATACTCGATTATAATAAGAGCATTAGTAAAAGCGGATGTATCAATATTGGTATATCTTGAAAATGAATTATGAGGCCTATGAGATCAATGATGATTATAATGATTAATATGGGTATGGTTGTAATATTATCCAATTGTAATGTTGACTTGCCCTGAGACAAACTTGGGTCATAGTGGATGATTATTTACAATGCTTCCTATCCTATCGATAAATTGCGTATTTCACCATCTGTTCTTGATGTCCAAACATGGTTGTTGTTTTCATATCATGGTTATCTTCTAGAGGTTTCTTTCTTGAAAATAGTTAAATAAATCATATTAATCTTGATCAATATTTCACTATCAGTTCTTGTAGTCCAGCTCTTTTGAATGCTTTGTTCATCAGTACTTTGTTTCAGTCCTGGTTTATTGGCATCTTTTCACTCTTTTTATGGGTTTGGTGCCCTCATTTTCTTCTTAATTTTCTTGTTTGTGTTCTTCTCATCGTCATAATTTTCTCTTATTGAACAAAATTCTGTTGCTGCTGGTAGCTAGTGGGAAAGCTGCAGAATTTGGTTCTCTGAAAGAGGGGTATATGTTTGACACATCAACAGGATTGGCAAGGATGTAAGTGAGATCAAACTTCTATTATTCATGTAATGTTGGCCCTGAAAATTTAGGTTTCATTTGGGATGACTTTCTTACCGCTTCGCAAAGCAGCTTTCTAGTAAAAAAGATTTTATTTTTGTATTAAAAAGTTGCTTTAAGAAGCAATAAGAAAGCCGCCCCAAACAAAACCTTAAACAGCTAAGGTTTGTGTTCTTGAAAAAAAATAAAAAAAACTTCCTTGGGCCCTCTTCATGTCTTCAGGCTATTAAGCTCTCCAACATGTCCTATTCTTGAAGCCCTTGGAAGGAAGCTTTCTTATGAGATAGCCGTTGGATTGAATGGCCGCGTATGGGTATGGCCCTAACTGATCTAAGTTCTGAATAGATTTTTTTTTTTTCATTTTATATATTTTTTTTATGTTGTTTTTTAAATAATTAATATCTCTTTATTTCTCAAGGTGAATGCATCCTCTCCATCTACTGTGATTCTTGTATCAAATGCAATAATGAGATCTGAATTTTTGAGTGATGTGCAGCAAAAAATTTTAGTGGAGAAATTGATGCAGAGAGTGCAAGGATGACAAATCTGTAGAATCGATAGACTATTAAGGATGACAAATCTGTAGAATCGATAGACTATTCTCCTGGAACGGTTTCTGCCTTTTTCCATGTCTTTATTTTCTAACATTTTTTTAGATGTTTAAGGGAAAACAACGTCGAGAATAATTTTCTTTGTTTTTAACTGTACTTTGTACGAACTGTTGTTCAGTGCAGCAGAATAGTTTTCAATTATTTTAAGCAATTATAGATTTCAAAAATTGCTTTTCTGGATGTATACTTTTATTATACTTAGCTTAATCAAAACTCTCTCTCTCTCTCTCTCTTACAGCTGATTTATTAAGTTCCATCTGGTGCAAAAAAATATTATGAAAATAAGATTTTTTTTTTCATACATTGAAATTCTTCAATTTAAAAGTTGGATCATTTGATAAAGAAATTATTACATGCGGAATTTGGACGTAATTCTATATCCGGATTGTAAATATACACAATGTATACATTATGTATTCAAATATACAATATATTTTTATACAGTCTATTGTATACACTTACATGACCATACATAACTCGATGTTCACGTAATAATTTCTCTATTGGATTATTGACATAAATGGCTTTGTCTGGGGTGTTTTTTTACTGTTTCTTAAAGCAATTTTTTAACATAAATTTTTATTTTTATGTTAAAAAGTTGTTTTAAGTAGTAAAAAAGCCATCCCTAACGAAGCCTAAGTTCAACTTATTGACAGGCATGAATATTACGGATTATTTAACATGGTTACAATCTTGCTACTTCTGTAATGTAAACAGCCACAGCAAGTTGAGATTTCAATATTTAGATTTTCTGCTTGAGATGCAATTATGTAAGCTTAGCTATACAGAAAGAATTAGATTTGCCTTCGTTTGAAAGACAATTCATACAAAATGTCAAAGAACTAAATAAATATGTTAGATGAAACAAAAAATCAGTGCTACATTTGTATCTCATTGTCACTTTTGAGAAAACAGGAGACTGTGCGTGGGAAAATTATTACGTCCGGTGTCCGGATTCATCCGGACTTCAATCCAGATGAGCCACATCATCCAAATACATCCGGGGCTCAGTGTATATGAATTGGTGTACGGACGGTCCGGTCACCAGACGTAATAATTCGCCCTGTGCGAGAGACTCTTGTATCTTTATCAAACGTGTCACCTAAGAAATCTAAGGAAAAAAAATACATCCTTTTCTCATCCTAGAACCTTTGTATAAACCCAAACAAAAAAAAAAGGCAAGTCAAGCATCCGTTAAATCAGACATGCTGTCAATGGATTCTTCTCTGGAATGTTGTGGGTAAGGGAGAGGATCTTCTTTAGCTGATTCCTCTACTACTGCTACTGGTAATAAATGTCTCTTTCGCCGAGTTCTGTAATTTCTTTCCTTAATTGTGTTTGACAAAGCTTGAACTAAATCTCTCATTGATGGCCGTCTCCTGGATAACCTGTTGATAGATTTGTACGCTAGGGTTGCCACTTCATTCAGTTCTTCCAAGTCAAAAGAACCCTCAAGCCGGGAATCTGCGATCTCTTCCCAGCCACCTCTTCCGTCAGCGTTTATGGCAGCCTAAATTTCCGCAATGAATATTGTTATGATTCTCAATATTATCACTTCCAAATCTATTGCGTTTATAAATCTAAATATGTGTGGAGATTTAGGCTTCGTGTGGGACAGTTTTCTTTCTGCTTCTTAAAGCAGCTTTTTAGTATAAAAGTTTTAATTTTTGCACTAAAGAGATGCTTTATGAAGCAGCAAAAAAAACCGCCCCTAATGAAGCCTCAAATAATCCAAACATTGTTGAGCTCAACAATCAAGTTCAAATTCTGAAAAGTTAAAAAAAAATGTTCACGTTCAAGAGACAATTTGAAACACTAAGCACTGTTTGAGTGCTCCACCCTTAATGAGCTGATAGACATTTCACTTTGATAGACTTGGATAAGGAAAGGCTCCAAGTTGCTTGGGTTATACTGTCCTACTTTACTACAGGGGCTAGATGAAAGTCACTGTGGTTGGGTCACTTGGCTCCTTAATCAAGCCTAATGGGTTAACTGGACTTGGATTGACCTTTGTGGATTATAGTTATCCTAGTAGCCCCAATTGACCTTAGGCGCCTAGATTGACCCAGTTAGACTTGGATTGATCCGATTGGAAACAAGTGAACCAATTAAACTCAAATTGACCTGATTGGACCTAGGTTGACTTAATTGGTCCCATTAAATAAATGAATCCTAGTTGATTATTGACCTAATTTGGCATGGGTTGACCTAATTAACTATGACTGACATGATAAAGCTAATTAGCCCAGATAGGGATACAATGACTTTGATTAGTCCTCCAGTTGACAAAACCAACTCTAATAAATTCAATTAGACTAATACTAACCCATAAGTTAACATCAAGTTTTGGCCAATAACAAGTATATCAAAGTACAACCCAAGTCCTCACTTCACTAAAGTGGAAAACATCAATAAATGTTTCCTCGCAGTTAGAGAAAAAAAATAATGCTCAGTTAACAAAAATCTTACCAGCTCAACATACTCCAGGAGACCTTGTTGTGGTGTTCTTCCGGCAATCAGCTCAAAAAGCAAAACTCCAAAGCTGTACACGTCACTTTTCTTTGTGTAAGATCTTGAAGAAACATATTCAGGATCAAGATAGCCAAAAGTTCCCCTAATTGGTGCATGCCGGCTGACAATTTCTTCTCTTGAAAGGCCAAAGTCCGCAACCTTATGAAAACAAGAGTTTGTTATGTATTAAAATGATAATAATAGGAAATATAAAACCTTCACCCTGGTAAACCAGTTAATAACCACTTCCGAGTTTTTTTTTTCTCTAATAAATTTGGGTAGAACATCAGTTCCTATTCAAACAGTCACAATATACATCAAAGCTCATTAGTTCGGTGCAATTTTTCTTTCAGCTTTAAGGTTTTAACTTCAGTTAGCACAAGCAATATCTGTTAGGTTGAATAAAAACAATCTCAGCCTTCTAGAAATCCTTGACAATGTGAAAGAAAACAAGAAAGATATTTAAAAGTAAACATTTCTGTTGAAGCCTCCTGTAAGGCTGTAACACACAAATACCAGAAACAAAATATAATATAGATCCATACTCTAGCTCTCATGGTTCTATCCAGCAAAATGTTTGAAGACTTGACGTCCCGATGAACTACAGATGGAATAGCCTGCAAAAAAAGCATAAAGAAAGAAAAAAAATCAATGGAATCAAATAAGAGTTGCTCGTCACGTTCTTTAATAGTACCAGAAATAAGAGCCTACACCATCATGAAGATACTCCAAGCCTCTTGCAACATCCAAAGCAATATTAATCCTCAAATCCCAGCTCAATGCCACCTTGTGCTCGTCTACAAAATATATGAGACTTTAATAATAATGAGAAAACCAATATTGATTTACAAACAAAAATTAAAAACATCATATATAAATTAGGAAATAGTAAAAAATTAAGTAATAATGCATTTGTCACTTTAACAAACAGCATGTAATAATGCATTTGTCCGTTAACACTGCCGTTGCCAGGTTTTAAGTCTTGGATAATAAAAGTGGAGGGTTGCATTAGGTAGTTGACAGCCAGCGTAAAACTTGTCGAGTAATCATGACATTAATCCTTTAAAAAATTGAGTTAATGTGAGGGTGTCCCCTAGAAGCGACGTGTTGTATGGCCTAAATACATCGACAAGTGTGCAAGGGCCGCTGCACCGACACCCGACTGCAGTGTTAAATAGGTAAGGGTTCTCATATCAATGACGAATGTGGGAAAAGAAGCTAGTCCATAAAACTAAGATTAGGATAAGTACTTAGAATATAGGTTCCCTTATAGGAAAATTAATGAAATTAATAAATATTATGATTCATAGGAAGATAAATATTTTGTGCATTCAGGAAACTAAATGAGTTGGGGAAAAGGCTAAGGGGATTGATAGTTTAGGATTTAAACTATGGTATTCGGGTAGGAGTCGTACTAGAAATGATGTACGTGTGATTATAGATAAAAGTTTTAAGGATAATGTTATTAAAATTAACAAATTTAGAGATAGAATTATAGCTTTAAAGATTATTGTTGATGCTAAGATTGTTAATATTATAACTGCTTATACTCTTCAAGTAGATTTGAATATGGGTTCAAAATTAAAATTTTGAAATAACTTAAAAGAATTAATACAAAAGATACCTCTTGAAGAAGTATTTTTATTGGATGAGATTTAAATTGACATGTTGATAGAGAGGTATATGATTTTAAAAGCATTCATGGTAGCAATGAATTTGGAACGACAAATAAAGATGGTAAAATCATATTAGATTTTTCTTTAGCTTATGATTTTTTAATAGATAATATCTTATTTAAGAAAAGAGAACATCTTATCACTTATAAAAATGGATATAGTAAAACACAAATTGATTATTTTCTCATAAGAAAATTAGATTGTTTAAATTGCAAAAATTGTAAAGTTATTTCGAATGAAAATTTATGTACCTAACATTGATTATTAGTTTTGGACTTTAAGATAAATGGCAGAAAATAAAAAATAAAGTAAAACGATATTCTAGGATTAAATGAGGGCATTTAAAGAATATTAATAAAAATATTTTTAAGAGTAAGATTTTAGATCTTAAGATTTTGTCTGTGCATGAGGATTTTAATGTTATGTGGGAAAAAATGATTAGTGATATTAAGACTATTGCAAAAGATGTGCTTGGAGTTTTAAAGGGAAAAGATCTTAATAATAAAAATAGTTGGTGGTGATATCAAAATATACAAGAAAAGATAAAAAATAAGAAGATTTGTTATAAAAATTGGTTTAAATATAAAAATTCTAATAATTGGGAAAGCTATAAAAAGACTCATAAAGAATCTAAGAAAGCTATTTGAGATGCAAATATCTTAGCTTTTAATGATTTATATAATATATTAGATTCTAAGGAGAGAGAAAGATATATGTAAGTTAGCCAAATAAAGAGATAAGAGTAGTAAGGATTTAGTTCAAGTGAAGTATATTAAGGATGAATATAAAAAATTACTTTTCTTAGAAGATGATATTTAACAAAGGTGGATGAGATATTTTGCTAAACTTTTTAATGAAGAATGTAAAAATACGATCGATTTTAGTGATCTTAACACCCTAAATGAAAATTAAAAAAAAAAACACCTTAATTGAAAATAAAGATTTTTGTTTTTATCGGCGTATTAGTAAAACCGAAGATAGAGAGACTTTAAAGAAAATGAAGTATGAAAAAGCTGTTGGACCTAATGATAGTCAATAGAGGTGTGTAAATGCTTAGGAGATGAAGGAATTTCTTAGCTTACTAAACTTTTTAATACTATTTTGAAGACAAAAGATATTAGATGAGTGGAGAATGAGTGTGTTAATTCCTATTTTTAAGAATAAAGGTGATTTACAGGATTGTGCGCATTAAAGATAAATTAAGTTAATGTGTCATGCTTTAAAACTATAGGAGTGAGTTATGGAGCATTAATAACGCTTATATTCAAATCATTAAAGATATGCATGCAGGAGCTATTACTTATGTTCAAACATAAGGTTGTTTGACCAAGTATTTTCCTATTTTGCTTGGATTACATCAAGGATCAACCTTAAGTATATCTTTTTGCTTTAGTCATGGATGTTCTCACTAGACATTTGCAAGAGGATGTACTTTGCTGTATGCTTTTTACTGATGATATTCTTCATGTTGATAAGCCTAGAGAGGGAGTTGAAGGTAAACTTGAATTATAGAGGTCAACCTTAGAGTCTAAAGGTTTTAGCTTGAGTAGATCTAGAACTAAATATATGGAGTGTAATTTTAGGAGGAATAGACCTAGTGAGGGGATTGTGACTTTGGGCGATCAATTCATTAATAAGAGTA